CAATGTAATTTTTCAAGCATTCTTAATGGAGCTAAAATAGGTAAAATTTCCCAACCATAAAAGAAAACACCAACGAAACTTAAAGAACGTAAAGTATTTGAATGAAGATGAATAGCGGAACAAATAGCTTGTAAACCAGCAGGAAAACTATGTAAAGAAAGATGAATGAGACGTTTTTGAGATTTGATAAGAGTTGATAAACTTAAAGCTTCTAATTCAACATAAGAAACATCAATAATTCTTTCACAAAAATATAGATTATGATCTAAATAATCTATACAAACATCAAGTTTTGAGATATTATGAGCGAATTTTGATAAAGTAGTGAATAGATCACGTTTTGAATTTTTTGTAGTGCAAATTAAATGAGTTAAATGATCAAGATGATGATTAAGTTTTGGACGAAAGAATTTAGTAGAGAAAGTAGATAATTTTGAAATTAGAGAATTACAAGTGAATTCATCATGATTACGTCTAGAAATTAAATCAACGGATAATTGATGAAGTTTTGGACACCTTTTTAAGAAAATTTTACAAAATATATGAGCGACACGATCAACGGATAAATCAGGGACTTTTTCTAAAATATTTTTTGAAGAAAGTTGTTGATCTTTATCAAGAAGATTTTTTGAAGAAAGTTGATCTTTGTCGAGAGGATTTCTTGAAGAATGTTTTGAAGTTGAAAGGAATTGTAAAACGACATAAAAATCGATTTTCTTTTTTAAATTTTTATTATTTAAATTATCATTATTATTATCTATAGAAGGAACTCTTATAAATTGATACCATTGACTAATAGGAGGAAATTGATGTTTTTTTGAAGAATCAGATACTTGTTGTTTTTGAATCATTCCATCTTGAATTGTCGACCATAATTCCAATAAATCAAGATTTTGTAAGAATTCCAGATAATTAAAAGCAGGAACGGAAATTTGAGAAGGAATTAAAATTTTCTTTTTGATAAGAGAATTTCTGTTTTTATAAATTATAACAGACATAAAAGTTTCGAATAAACTTTTAGCAAGAGATTGCCTTTTTTCATTTGAACAATTACAAGGGGAATTTTTACAAGAATATAAGAGACGAAAAGGATGACACCATAAAAAACGAACGACGATTTGACACCAGTGACGATTTACTAATAAACAAGAGTGTAAAGAGGATTTATCATGTCTAAAATCCTCAAATATTAATAAAAGGCAATCAGTTGGAAGAAATGGAGAGGTCATCTTAATAAAAAAAGGAAATTAATTAAATGAAGACTGTGGTGGGGGGGGAAATATTTTTTAGTAAGGAATTTAAAAAAAAAATAAAAAAAAATAAAAAATTTTTTTAGTAAGAAAATTTTAGTAAGAAAAATTTTAGTAAAAATATTTAGTAAAAAATTTAGTAAGAAGTTTTAATAAAAGGTGATATAAACAATTTATATAGGAACTAAAGATTGATTTACCGATATCGATAATTTGATTGTTCTCTATTATGCATAAAAATATCGAATAATTTGTACAGGAAAAAAACGTTTTTTTTGCCCTTTTTTCCAAGTAGGGAGAAAATCAGCTCAATAGGGTTACCTAAAACAATTCCCGATTTATATCACGGTTTATTTTCGTAGGAGATCATGACTAAAATGAGAGGCTGAAACTAAAATATAATAAGTGCAGATGTTATTAAAGCAGCCTCTTAATCATATTACCTTTCAATTCGCCTAAATAATGATCTTGTGTACCATAACCGGAACTAAATATGATATGGGGGAACAAACATTAAATATGATATGGGGGAACTAAAAATTCTGTACTTGTTATTCTTTATTATATTATGTGCTTGTTACTCTGGACTTATTATTTTATAACATACATTTTATTTTATGTATTCTATACTTTGGTAGAGGACGAGCGGATGCATGATTTATTCGGCGCATACGGAGTAATAAGGATTTGTAGAAGAAATATCAGGTTTATACTCTTATTTATCATATTTATACTATAACGATAATAGTAAGCCATTTTCGTCAGATGAAGCTCATTTTAAATACAGGAAAATATTCTAAAATTGTTCAAAGATAAAAGACAATAAAAAGTAAATACGTGGTGTAATCATATTATTATTTTTGATGTGTGTGTAAAAACAAGGATAAACAGGCTATTATTTGTTAGTCACAGCATAAGTTATACGTATAAAAATTAAACAATCTTTATTCCGAAATTTTCAAAAATCATTTGTTTGTTTTTTTTTTTTTTTTTTCAACATGCGAAAAATAATTAAATAAGTTTTGTACAACTTGTAATGTGTAACTCTTTAAAGGTCATTTAGGATAAGGCTAATTGTTTTAAAAAGAGAACAGAGCGAATAATAATATGATTCTTATCTATTATATAATATAATATAATTCTTATCTATATAAGTTATAACGATAATATATACATTTTTTTTTAATTCTTCATGTGTAGTTGGACATAGTTGTATACAAAACGTGGTACAATACTTGAGAAGATTCGCTTTTCCCAATTTGAAATTCGAATCAACTGATACCATTAAACGTTTATTTCAAATCTTTAAATACCGGTATATACTAATATATATATATACGGTATGAGAACTACCGTATATATATTATATATGCGCAATATGCGCGCGAATTTATCACAAGAACTGTACGTACGTATTGAACTTGGATTGAACTTGGTTGAATTGAATTGAATGGAATTGAAATTAGAATGAAATTGGAACCGAAGATTAATATTTATGGTTAAGTTATTAATGATGTTTAGGGGTCTAAAGAAAGGGATGTCGATATTAATTATCAGTTATGGAAAATCATGTCATTTTGTTTATTTATCTTTATTGGCGCCTGTCATTTTATTAGGGGTGGGAAGTTATATTAGATAAAAGTTCTAGTTCCCTTTTGACAATGACAGGTTTTCCGGAAAAATAGAACTTACAATTTGATTTTCCATGAAGTATATGCAAGAAATGTGATAGTGATATCTAATCAAAGTATTAAATACAATTATATTATATATTTTACAATAATTTTTTACACAATTTTTTACAATTTAAAATTTAATAAAAAAATAAAATAAAATAAAATAATTTTAAAAGTCTGTTTCTAGTTATGAACTACCAAGTTTCGATTTTTCACACCTTTTTATGATCTGTTGTTCTAAATTGAACACTATCCCATCTTGATCTACAATCTCAACAACTCTTAACCTTAAATTCAACAGATGAAACAACAAACAATCATGTATTTGTACAAATGATTCTTGTTCAATTTTAAATAGATCTTCATGTTGAGTCGCATTGTGTCTTGTACACTCTCTATATTCTCTATATTCTTTATATTCTTTATATTCCTTGCATTCTTTGTATTCCTTATCATTATATTTATATCTTTCTTTATATTCTTCATTTTCATAATATTCATTATATTCATTATATTTATTGTTTTCTTCATATTCGTATTTCTTTATATCTTTAACATTATATCCCAATGAGTCGATATCAGTCAATTTAAATGTATTATCACAATTCACTATTATTTCATTTTTAAGATTATCCTTTAAAGTCGGTAAGCCAACAACATTCTCACAAAAATCCAATATAGCCATACACATCTTTCTCACGATATCACAATAACCTGTTTCGTTATCTTGGTGAAATTTATAAATCTTTAAACTATATTCTCTTAAATCTTCCAATATTGGCCGAAAATATTGTGAATGTATTAATAATGATTGGACCTTTAGTAAATCGGAATTTGAAAATATTTGTTTTTTATATATTCTAATTAATTGAAACGTTGCTTTTATGGAATGGTTTCCTGGAAGCATTGGTAAGCTTTCGAAATCCTCTTCATTCCATGAATTTGTAATATCTTGTGAATTTTTTGAACTCGTTTCTGACAATTTATCAAGTGATTTTGTTGTAATAGGAAATGTCATACTTTCATTTATTTATTTTTTTTTAGAAAAAAAAAAAAAAAATGAAATTTAAGTTCCCATTTTTTTTTTTTTTTTAAAGAACATTAAAAGATATAATTTAAAAAAAAATCGATCGATCAAATACGTATGCAAACTAAATATTATATGATATCATCTTTGCATCATATATCTTTAAAAGATAATCATTATATTATACATACTTAATTATAATAAATTAGGTTTTAAACGTTACATGTGATATATCTGATATTATTATCTTTCTGTCACTTTCTCTCAAATTTACTATTTTCTTTCATTATCATGAGTGGTACGCCACATATGCTAGTAAAAACTTTCTTTCTTTTGATTCTATATATACCTAAATTATCTTTAAAAATAGTCGAACCATTCGTTTTTTGCATCTTTGATGTGATCGAATTTTTAATATATCTTGATCATAAGATCGAAATTCATGGTGCCCTCCGTGATCGACGTTACACTATTGTTTATATAACAATATATACTATCGCTATAGTTTATTTTTTTATATCAATAATTTTACTTGTTATATGGTCGGATCGGACTAGGAAAACCCCCCCTTCTTGAAGGGTAGTTTTCCATGTGAAACCTAAATTTTACCCTTGAATTTTTTGTTAATTTTTAGATATTAATTCAGCAATTACTAATAAACAACATCATGTGATAATAAATCATTCAATCATTGGCTATCAATCTATTTTTAGAAAAGAACGTTTAAAAAATTTGTCTACTTTCAAGTTGAAATATCTCAATAAATTATTATATCAACGTAGGATAAAAAGTGAAATACATATAAATAGAAACCGGCACTTTAATTTGAATCAGAAATCACAAAATTTTTAAAAAAATGTCGAAGGGGAGTTTTCCTAGTCCATTGCCCATATGGGTCATGGACTAGGAAAACAGCCCTTTGACGATTTTTTAAAAATTTTGAGTTGTTTGATTCAAATTAA